CACCATGCGAACGCTGTTTGGCGATCAATTCACTGGATACGATCGATGTTCGCCGATTGAACCGGTACTTCTAGTGATTGTCATCGACACCATGGAGTCGGTAGAAAGAGGTTGACATCTTGGTATAGATTCTAGATCACCTCCTCAACCAATCACCAAGGTTTCACTTTACGACTTGGTCCATGTTGGTTCGTTCTTATAGTTCATGCAACGCCTTGAACGAACCCTTTTTTTCCATTGCCCACCAAAGCTTTTTCAAAAAACATTAAATGTGTTGATAGCAAGATGACTTTTCTCTACAAACGACCGTGATTCAATGTTCCGCTCTCATTATTCTCATACTTCTTTGGTAAAAAACATAGAAATAAACACAGGAGTCAAGCGGACGTCCATGAGAAATCCACATTCTTCGAAAGACCGAACGCGAAGAACCACCGTCCCGAAGACCTGGGGGGGTCCAGTAAACCCGCCCAGGGCCTTCACTTTGTACTTGTCGGAACCTGCAAGGACTCATCCAGGCCGCCGGCGGATCGGATCAACTCGGCGGTTGAACAAGCGTGGGAGGAGGAGGATGTAGTCCACGAGTCCACGAGTCTCCGGGAAATCCGTCGAATCCATCAGGACTCCTGAGGTACTCCTATATAGGAAGTGTCAAGTTTTCGCTGAACTGTCCTATCTGGGCTATTTGGCAAATGGAACTCTTCCGCACGATGAACGCTTCAAGCCAGACATGAAGGCATGCGGCATGAAAGAGGTTTCTTTTGTTTGTTCCCAAACAAAGTGGGCAATGTGAAGGCCCACATGTGCCAATTCAACCGTGCAGCTCCAATTCTTGCCCCCACGGCATCCTGTCCACGGTATCCTGTTGCTGTGTGACACGGCTATCGCCTCGACCAGTCACCGACGGTGGCGTTTTCACCGTCGGTGTCGCTGGAAGAACGCCATCGAAGGCGAAGTACTCCAAATCGAAGGCGAAGAATGCCATCCAACGCGACCAGCTGCTTGGCCTTTGTATGTGTTTCAGGGGGAGAGCCCCTCGCCCTCCACGTGTTTTTGTTGGTGAACACTACGGACCGATGGATGGCGGCCACATAGGATTGGCATCGTCCGAAGCGGTCCGCGAGTGAATGTAGGTTGAAGACACCCAAAAAGACGGTCCGTTCGTAGGTACGGTACCCTAGGCGACGGGTCCTATTGACGGGCACCAAAGAAACATCTCTTGGTTTTTCCAAGGGTTTGGGTGGTCAGCTGGTGGTCGGCAGTATTTAATCGATGGAGGCAGGAGTGCAAACAGAGGCTGTTAGGCGGTCCCATATGGAAAATGCGCTGCAAATTGCCATCACCCAGCAGTTTTGACACTTGTTCATTTCGCGGTGGGTCAAGAGATACAGGTTTCCCTGCTGTAACTGAAACCCTAAACCCTAAACCCTGTATGTTGCCCATACAAGCCATGCCGGTTTATGAGTGCCCTGCACTAAAAAAGTCCTGCATGACTACCAGGACCCTCCAAGGGGTGCCCAATGGAAGCCTATAGGTAGTGTTGGGTAGTTCATTGGACACCCCTTGGAGGGTCCTGGTATAGTCTAGTGTGTGTTTGAACATGTTTGAACTGTTACTAGGTGGGGGGTACGACACAGAATCATTGTCAATCAATCGGACATCCATGTTCCATGCGTGTTTTTCTTTGTGGTGGATCCCAGGAATGGGGGAAAGAAGGACCACGTGGGTCTAGTTTTTATTGCAATCTCAATGATTCAGAATTGGCGTCCACAGCGCCCGTTGGGAACCCATCAAGGGAAGGCAGATGTTGTGACTCTTCAGCAGTCAGTTGGCAACCTCCATGAAGACCACACGGTGCAATTGATGATATGTAGGATTTATTGATCCGTGTGGGCATGCATGTTCAATGATCACCTTGAAGGACGTCACGTGTCACGATGGGAGTCTAGGGCTCCAAATACCTCCTCAGAAGGTGGTCGGGGTGGGCTTGAGGGGTTCAACCACCTTCTGAGGATATGGTTGGAGGTGTAGGGGATATTCGCGGAGGTGGACAAGAAATGGCTGTACATATGGCTGTATGCGTATGTTCACTAGGCTGTGAAAAAGCTCAAACCATTGGAACACGATGTGGCCTATGAAGAACTCCCAGACATCTAAGTCGGAACTCTCCATTGTCCAAGCACTGTCATTCTTGAGCATGTAGATAAGACCATTTGTATCCATTTGTATGTAAGGAAAGCTCGTAATCCATACATTTGTCAATTAAATGTCATACTACGTAGCCCCTTTCAGGGGCAGCAAACGTGGCAGCTTGGCCAACTGCAGTCCCCTTTCCGTTTCGGTGTCCACTTTGAGGTTCCAACCAAATGCACCAACAAGGACAGACAGAAACCGGTCGATGTGTTTTGGCACCCTCTTCCCAGCAGCTCCCGAAGCGAGGCGAGGCCGAAAAAAGACATGCCTCGCCGTTCGCTGACCTCGGTGCCCGCAGATCGGACCGAGGTGGTGGAACACTTGCTCACCGCATTGGCGCAGCGTGTCCATGAGTGGCCTCACTGCATGGGGAAGAGATGCGGGAGACGAAACCGATGTGGGTGGAGGCAAAGATCAGGGACGAAGAGAGAGAGATCCGATAAAAACGCGCAGGGCGCCGGTCTAAACAAAAGGCTTGCCACCGTGCTTGGACGAGTATCCGGAGTGCGACGAAAACATCATGCAAGGATATGAATGGACGTTTTCACGCCATTTTTTCTGACCGCTGAAAGAGTATCATTGTCGTTAAGCGTCTTGTGTTTTGGAGCAATTTCCATTGGATAATGCAGTTGGTCTCATGCTTTTCTAGGAGCCAATAGCAAGGAAACAGTGGAAAGGAACCCCAGAATAAACACAAGATAACAGTGAACAAGTGTTTCTAGTTGGCATCCTATCCATGCCACGAAGAGATACACATTGAAATGGTCATGATACTTAACCATGACCAAAGACCGGACTTGGAAGGTCCTGGGAGTTTTGTCCTCCGGTGACCAGACTCGGTTGCCCTGAGGCTGTCGGCGCATGCTTCCGTACGTGCGCTGCACTGTGCCTATTGCCTCGAGGAGAAGGGGCTGTTCAGTTCATGGCTATTCAATCAAGTATATTTCTTCAGAGGTCAGGTTCGTAAATACCGATTCAAGTATATACCAATTCTGCTCCATCGCTATTAGGTTGGAGGCCATCGCTTCTTGGGTGGAGGCCATCGGTCTTAGGAGAAGGGACTGTTCATGGCTATGTGGTGGATTCAGACTAGATGACTAGATGGCACACACCCCGGTGGTGTCTCAAAGGAACCTATTGGTGCATACGATCGATCAAAGAGTTCCTTGCTCCTCTACGTCTAAGCGCATCCTTGATTTGATTTATTAGATGTCTATAGTTTGTATGTTTGGCCGGACTGTAGATATCTGTAGATCAAGCTTGGATGCGACTCATTGTCTTTCTTGACCAAACTCCACGTCACCATGTTGTTGTTGTTGTTGTTGTTGTTGTTTCTGTTTGGTTTCAAGTTTTGTTCTCCGAATGCATACAAGCGAGATGTTTCAATGGACATTCACACAACTGGTCGACCAGGGATCTTGAAGACTACCAAGCAAATGTCAAGTTCTGGGTTCAAACTACATTAACAGAACTGAGACAAGACATGGGTGTTCTTTGGAATTGTTCGGTCACAACATTCATGTTGAACACCCACAAAATCTCATGAACTTGGCGATGTTGTTACCACCCCAACTGAGGCCGGGAGACATTCACCAACAAGACGCATGATGCATTATATCAACCCAGATGCTTCATATTGGTTCCTGGTTCCTCATCACCGGAATCATCAACACACAGTTTGATTCACAAGTTTCAGAACGGGACTCCACGCTCCGACTCTTCTTTGGCACCAGACTGAAACACGCATGGTCTTGCAGTTTCTTTGTGTTCTTTTCCTTTGCACATGGACCCTCCTTTTTCAGGAGCAACAGCTCCTTCGGGAAGGACGGGCAAGCTCCTTCTGGTTGGAGCGGGGACTTCGGATGGGTCCACACTGGGGGGGAACAGGTTGCCTTGAAACAATATGAAGCAACTACCGGTCATAGCGCGGTCATGTCAACCTACGGGATTTTGGTGATTTTCAGATGAGTCTTGGACTTGCAAGAACAAGCGCGAGGGAGTTGCGCGAGGAACTTGTATGACAACGTGTTTTGTTGTGTTGGAGTAGCGGCTATCCCAAAAGTAGCAACCCACATACAGTATCTATCGACGTGGCTTTGGAAGGCGACACGGTAGTTTGTTCAGGTAGCTTGTTCGGCTGTTGTGTTTATGGACATGAAATTTCCCAGACACTCCATGTATGGTATATTTACATATATTTACCATTATTTACCTACATTGGGGTGGTTTGAGGGGTCAATGTAGGCATATATGACAGACATGGAGTGTCTGGGTATTGAGAAACGGCGTAAACTGGAACATTGATCGACTTTAGGCCGTATCCCTTCGTGTCCGAAGAGATATTGTGCTTCTCTAGCTGTAGAGTCTTACAGGCATAGCCTGTGGCCTGTGGCAAGTCAGGTGTTTGGCTTCATCCACCTACAGGTGTGCCAATGTGTATTTGTAGGTATACGATGGTATACGTGGGTATCGAAGCAGCAAGTGGTTACATGCGTTACATGACTATCGCCATTCAGGAACAGTACATCCTGGCACAAACTGGGAAAAACGAACTTTGCCCTTTGTGCTTAAATCATCTTAAATCATTCAGTATCATTCAGTATCCCACCTTTGTTCTGTTGCTTCCTTCGAGCAGGATGGACTAACAACTGTACTTCCAAACTAGAGGGAGAGCTGACGCGCCTCCGGCTCAGCCGCTGTTCCTCCGTTTTTCGCTGCGGCGTTCCGCGCGGGCGAGCCGCGCGGCGATGGAGAAGCGCTCAGCACGGACGCGCACATGGCGGCGGGTGCGGGGCGAACTGTTTGCCATGAAGGATGGGACGCGGGGTGGACCGATGGGAAGGAGACTCGTGGGTTACGTGGTGCTTGACCTCATGTAGAACAACTCCTGGCATTGCTTAAGATGTGTGTGTGTGTTGCTATGTTGCTGCTGGTCCTGGTAGTGATGGACGTCACATGTTCGAAACCCTACGGGGATTAGGATTCGAGGACATTTTGACTAGTATATCAGCCCTAGGGATCCACATACATCACATACCCTCTAAGAAGGTGATGTGTCCGACACTGTTATGTAGGCGCCATTGTACGGTCCAGTCGTACCGAACCTGAGGTTCCAACACTTGGTGGATCCCCAGGGTTGCTAGAGGGTTCGCTGTGTCATTTTGACCACCATGGAGTCAGGTTCAGCACGACACCGAAGGACACCAGTCATGTTCCAACAACCTGCACCACGTGAACCGTTGTACCTGGTTCGCATCGCGTCGGGCCATTGGGACCCACGGCCGGGCCGGGGGCGAGGACAGTCCGGTGTTTTAGAAGCGGATGTCGTGATCATCAACAGATAGATGCAACAGTTACCCTGGTTTTGCAGATCTGATTTTTGTCTTCCCTACGGGCTGAGTCCCCTTCTGGGGAAGATTTTTGTTCCGGTTCCTTAAGTAAATCCTAAGTTGTTCCCCTTTTGTTCTACTTGATCTATCGGCCACATCGGCCCTATAGATGATATATATATAAGTACAAATTCGATGTGTTCATAATATTCTCCAGTCATTGTACCTGTGACTCCCAGAAATCAACTTCACGACCCTGGTAGAGGAACATCAACCAAACAACTCAATCAGAGAGTTGCGATGTATATATATATATATCTAATATATGTATTGCTTTCTACCTACGGAGGAGGAGACTTGCTGTGGGCTTTAGCTTTGGTGGCTCACAGTTGGCTGTTGGAAGGGTCGAATACGCCAAAAGCAGGAGAAGATCCTCGAGCTGATGTCCCTGCCCACCGCGCTGGCCTCAACATTTCTGGGGAACCTCAAGTGGTCGTGGTGGTGGTGGTGTTTTTTTTGGGTGTTTATTTGTTTTCAGTCTAATTCAAAGTGCACAACCAAGTACAAGGATCACATTCAATGCATGAATGATACTTAAACCAGTAGTTTGTTCTGGACCTCTTTGCGGTGTTAGTTCAAGACTGTGTTTCAGTGTCGGCTCAACTTTTTGACCGGCCCACAGTATAGGTCTTGAAGGAAGGGAACATAGACAACCAACCATCAACCATCAACCAACCCATTCGGCCAGGCTTGACTTCCTTGTTTGGAGAAAACCACAACAAGAACACCCGGGAAGAGACCCACATGGAACCTGTTGGCATGTACCTTTGGGAAGGCTAGCGGGAGTCAAAATGGAACCGACAAACCACTGGTTTTCAGGTTCCATGTGGATCTCTTCCAGGGCGTAATGGCTGAAATGGTGGGTGTTCTACTGGGAGGTCCTTTGCTCGGGCCTGAGAGAATGGAGAGGTCTGGAAACTGGCAGCCTGAAATGGAACATATAGGATTTAGATTCTTATCATTTCATAGGACCATTTTTGGGATTATGATTATAGAATCACCTGAGTTCGCTTTGTGACTTGGCTTGGCAGCGGCCACGGCCACTCGCGATCGCCAACCGCGGAGAAAAGGAATCCCAAGAGACAAGAGGGTTTGTTTTTTTGGGCATATATATATATATATGGGTGTGTATGTTTAAAAAGGGGACACCCTTTCTCGCCCCTGGCTGGGTAGACTGTAGACTGTTTTTCCCTTCACCGAACCCAGGTTGGACACCCACAAGTCATACAGCATGTATAGCAATGTGTAATCATGTGTAGCAACCGCTTCATTGCTGAGTAAGTTTTTCCGTGGTTTGGGGATTTTGCCTGGTCAACAACTACTCATTGACTCATGTCTCCCGCAGCCAACGCGTCTGTTCCGCCAGAGGCCTGGGATTGCGGCCGAAAAGACCGCTTGGATTGGAAGTGCTTAGTCAAGCTCAGCAGGTTTGAAGCTCAGAAACACATCTGAGTACAAAAGACTCATCCAGACCATGGGATCCGTACCGAACCTCCAAAGGTACCGGTTCCCTCCGTGTTTTTGTTCACGCGTGCTCGCCGTAGCGAGGGTGGATCCGTGGATCTCAGAGTGGGAGGAGAGGTTGGGAGTGGATATTTCCCAGACACGACCCATGGGATTGTCATAGGACTGCCGATGAATTGACCCCTCATGGCCCACCCTCAATGTAGGTAAATATACCAGTCCCATTCGTCGTGTTTGGGTTTGAGTGACTGCCATGGATTCTTTGGGAACTGACCCGATACCTCGCTCAAATCTTGATGAGTTCGGCGGTCAACCTGGAATTGCCGGTAGTTCGTCACCGATCCCCGTGAGAGCGTCAAATCACAGAGTTGTACTTCAAGCATTTTGGGAGTTTTGACATTATCATTTGGCCCATAGGGCTCCTGGCCGACCTCCGTTTTCGGTTCGGTGGGACAGGGGTGGATGCCACGGGGGTCGTGAAGTGCCCACCGAACCTTCGGATATGGGCCGTGAACGGAGCCCTCCAACATTTGAAGGTGGAGTACTGATTGACTTGCCGATATTTGTCTACCGAAACCAGTTCCTCAAGTTCCCTGACACCAGCTTGGTCCGACCAACGAAGGGCCTCACCAGATCTCACCGTTGATCAGAATTTCCCACGCGGATTCGCTCCAACTTGCGTCATGTTCTCTATTCTTTGGACAGTTCCAGATCGATATTTGTGGCCACCCAAGCAGATGAAGATCACATCACCCAACCAGCAACAAACCCCAGGAATTCACCTCACCGGTGGAATGCTGCCTTTTGAGGCCTGGTTGGTGGTTGGTGCATGTGTGGCTCTACTTGGCCCCGACAGGCCGTCGGAGCGAGCGCAGATGGGGTTCAGCCATGAGCGCAGATAGACTCGTGCTCAATAAATCCCTATTTTGGATGCACGGACTCGTGGGAGGTCCAGGATTGAAACACCCAATCTGACTCTTTACCTTAGAATCTTACCCTGGATTGAAACACTTATTCATACTAGCTTCAAGACAGTCTACATTCTACATTAAAATGGATTCCGGTCAGTGTGCTCGGTTTGTATACCGGTTTGTATAAAACGTCCGCTCGGGCCGGACCCCCTGCCTGAAACTTCAGGTGCCGAACAGAGCACGGCAAAAAGCACCAGGATCAAGATGGGTGAACAGATGTCGATTGGTGAAAAGACCTTCCTAGCAATGAGTGGTCCCCAGGTCATGTCCAAAAGCTTCCTAAGTTGATTGGACCGGTTCCTCGCAAGGGCACGCAAAGCCTTTCTGGCGAGCTGCAAGCGAGGCCAGAAGTACCACCTGCTGAGCAGCTTGCCACTCGGGTTTGCTCATTGGCGACTTGAGCGAGGGATCTATTTTCAGAAGTTGCTTGATCCGAACTTGCAACACCTATATATCAAGTCAATGAGTATATAACCTTTAATTAACCTTTGTTCCCAGGCAAACGAAGGAGTCAGAAAACATGTTGTTTTGTGTCTCAGAGCAAGGTTTTCTCATCCTTCTATGGCTATATACAAATACACGTGTGCAGTCCTCGATTATCACTGACTTGGAGCTCATAAGCGCAAGCATGATGCAATACATGCTGTTATTATGGGCAATTGCACATCACACATAATCATCATCTAGTCCAAGTGTCAAATCCAGGCCTATGCTGAGTGTTTTTTTAGTGTATTGTTGGTCCCTTAGAAGACACATTCAGAAACAGACAGCTGCGGGGTCTAGAGCAAAAAAAACATCCCGTCCCTAAAGCTATGCCTAGGTTAAGCACATGCAAACAAAGGATTTGCAAGATTGAGCCAACCCTGCACCCAACTTTCAACATCTTTGAACTGATTTGCTGCCCAAGCTCTTGCAGAGACGCGTCGAAAGGTCGTTTTGGCTGGGCTTGGCCTATGTGCTCTTCCCTCTCAACCTCCTGGTCTATGGCCTCAATGCCAGGGGACCAAGAAAGTGAGCGTTGGCGGGAAGGTGGAGGTGCACAGTCCTCGTCGACTTCACTGCCAAGAAACACAGATGGAAGTGCCAAGACCTTCAAAGTGACCTCTTTGAAGGATCTAAGTATGTTATTGTTGAAAGCAGGCCTATATGTGACCTCATCCTGGGATCTTAAAATGTCACATTGAAGTTTTGAAGGGTTGTGGTGGATGGCATGGCCCTTTGAAAGACCACTTTCCCAGATTTTTGTTGGGCGTGGTCCACTGCTAGGGGTGTTCGCATGGGTGCCGGCGGTGATGTCGCTCTGCCGGGAGAAGTGACTCTTTCACTGGAGAACCTCTCCGGAGCCCACGGTCGCAGTGCGCAGTGGCGCGTGGGTCATGCAGTCCACTCACGGAACACCTCACGGAACACCACCATTCGAATGGGTCGTTCCAGGTCCAACGCCACACGACCGACGAGACGCGACGAGACTCGTCGCGAGTCGCGTCGGTTTGTCCCACCGCGGTGGCGCGGTGGCGCAGCGACCCATAAAAAGTCCACAGATGGGCCCAGCGACCCATAAAGCTCTGCGGTACTACTACTACTACTACTACTACTACTACTACTACTACTACTACTA